AGAGAGAGAAAGGTACGAAAAAACAAAGTAATTCCTATGTCATGAACTACGTTCGACCTGATTCCTTCTAAGGATATGTAGGCATCCTCACGGTTCGGTCCCATCAAAATAAAAATTCAAAAGCCCCCAAGCAAGGAAACTGGGGTAGAAGTTGCAGTTTTGTAAAAGATCTGATTCCAAAAGTTATAATTTTGAACCCATTCAAGCTGTTTTGAGCCTTTATGATATCCTTTCTTTCTAACCCTATCAAAGAAACCCACACTACGGTCCAAAGAAAGACCTTCCGATCAATCTTCGAGGGATGCCAAGTCAAGCAAGTAGAGGCATGACTCATATCAGGGGGCAACACTCCGTTTTATGAAGGAAAAAATGAATAAATGAGAGAGTCTTATTGGTGAAAACCCTCACGGGCACCGTAAGGCGACTGAAAGCTGAGAGAAAATGAGAGAGTCTTATTGGTGAAAACCCTCACGGGCACCGTAATGCGACGGTGAGTTGAGAGATGAACAACAAATGAGAGAGGTTTGCTGGTGAAAACCCTTCAGGGCGCCGCAAGCCGAGTAAGGTGGTTGACTTTGCAAAGGAATTGGATCATGGGGACCCCAAGCATAAAATGTGAGGACTGAAAGGGGATTGACTGAATGGACTAGGCTGATTAATCCTAAATGCATGTCATGATCATTGATGCCAGCAACCTCACTCAAATAAGTTCCTTTTTCCTTTTCTTCCTCAAACTTCCTGTTTTGAATCTTTTCCTTTATTCATAACCCTCGAAGTTATTGCATTTCATTTCCTTTTGGGTCTACTTTCTTTAAGGCTTTTTCCAATGATAGCCTTACTAAGCAAACAAGAGGGATCGCAAAGCTTATTACCAACTTCCAATTGCACAAAGCGAAGTGCGGCCACAATATGCCAGAAATAGCATGATGCACAATGAAAAATAAGGTGTTAGCCGAGGTTCAAGTGATCAAGTGGTTTTGTGAATTGTAGGGAGAAATACAGAGATTCAGATTGGAAAGACAGAAGGGTTAAAACACCAGGTTGAATATAGGGCGCTCAGGTCATTCAGGGTTCCGTGGTTATGGTTCAATCAGAAGGTGAAACAATTCCTTGCCAGTCAGATGTAGTCGAGCAACACAAAGCATGACGGTAGAAAGGCCACCCTCAGCAAGAATGCCGCAAACTAACCACCACATTTTCAAATTGACAAGATTTTTCTTTGATTAAAACAGGGGCAGGAAATTTTGTTTGTTTCGGAGAAACCCTCCGTGAAGAAAGCAGGTGCCCGACAGGCTCGGCCGTAAGTTTTCAGTACTCTCCTGGATAACGGGATTTAGTAAGTTTTGAGACCCTCGCAAATGACAAGGTCCGACGAGAGTTTTTCTTTTGGGAAATATAATTCAGCATTGAAGTTTTCACTTTTGAAGATGAGACTTGCTTTGAAATTTTCAGGATAAGGGAATTTAGCTTAGAACTTATTTTGATAACAAGAGTCGGTTAACACTCATAGATGTTCCCAATGTCAAACTGGGCAGAAAAATTTCTTTTGTTTTGTCTGTTTTGTTGTAGTCAGGCGCCCACCTGGAGAACAAGGGAAGACAATTCAAGTTTCAAAGAAAAGCGGTTCAAGATTCAAAGGAAGAGAGTCCGAGTTTCAGCAATCAGGCGCCCACCTGGAGAACAAGGGAAGACAATTCAAAGGAAAAGCAGTTTCAAGAGGAAGACAGTTCAAAGGAAAAACACTCTCAAGAGAAAGCAGTTCAGGTTCAAGCAATCAGGCGCCCACCTGGAGAACAAGGGAAGACAGTTCAAAGGAAAAGCACTTTCAAGAGAAAGCAGTTCAAATTCAGCATTCAGGCGCCCATCTGGAGAACAAGGGAAGACAGTTCAAAGGGAAAACAGTGGCGAAGGAAGACGGTTCGAGTTCAGCAATCAGGCACCCACTTAGAGAACAAGGGAAGACAGCACAAGTTTCAAGGGGATAGCAGTTTCAAAGGAAAGCAGTTCGAGTATCGGCAGTCAGGCGCCCACCTGGAGAATAAGGGAAAGCAGCTCAAGTTTCAAAAGGAAGACCAGTTCAAGTTCAGCACCAGGCGCCCACCTGGAGAACAAGGGAAGACAGTTCAAGTTTCAATGGAAAGTAGTTTCAAAGGAAGACAGTTCAAGGTTCAGCAACCAGGCGCCCACCTGGATAACAAGGAAAAACAGCTCAAGTTTCAAGAGGAAGACAGTTCGAGGTTCAGCAATCAGGCGCCCACCTGGAGAATAAGGGAAAGCAGCTCAAGTTTCAAGAGGAAGATAATTCGAGGTTCAGCAATCAGGCACCCACCTGGAGAACANGGAAGACAGTTCTAAGGGAAAGCAGTTTCGAAGGAAGACGGTTCGAGTTCAGCAATCAGGCACCCACCTGGAGAACAAGGGAAGACAGTTCTAAGGGAAAGCAGTTTCGAAGGAAGACGGTTTGAGTTCAGCAATCAGGCACCCACCTAGAGAACAAGGGAAGACAACACAAGTTTCAAGGGGATAGCAGTTTCAAAGAAAAGCAGTTCGAGTATCGGCAGTCAGGCGCCCACTTGGAGAACAAGGGAAGAAAGTTCAAGTTTTAAGAGAAAGCAGTTCAGGTTCAGCAGTCAGGCGCCCACCTGGAGAACAAGGGAAAACAACTCAAGATTTTTAGGGAAAGCAGGTCGAGTTAAGCAATCAGGCGCTCACCTGGAGAACAAGGAAGACAGTTCAAAGGAGAAGCAGTCTCAAGATAAAGCAGTTCAGGTTCAAGCAATCAGGCGCCCACCTGGAGAACAAGGGAAGACAGTTCAAAGGAAAAGCAGTTTCAAGAGAAAACAGTTCAAGTTCAGCAATCAGGCGCCCACCTAGAGAACAAGGGAATACAGTTCAAAGGAAAAGCAGTTTCAAGAGAAAGCAACTCAAGTTCAACAATCAGGCACCCACCTGGAGAACAAGGGACGACAGTTCAAAGGAAAAGCAGTTTCAAGAGAAAGCAGTCCAAGTTCAGCAATCAGGCGCCCACCTAGAGAACAAGGGAAGACAGTTCAAAGGAAAGAAGTTCAAGTTCAACAATCAGGTGCCCACCTGGAGAACAAGGGAAGACAGTTCTAAGGGAAAGCAGTTTCGAAGGAAGACGGTTCGATTTCAGCAATCAGGCACCCACCTGGAGAACAAGGGAAGACAACACAAGGTTCAAGGGAAAGGAAAGCAGTTCAGGTTTAAGCAATCAGGCGCCCACCTGGAGAACAAGGGAAGACATTAAAGGAAAAGCAGTCTCAAGAGAAAGCAGTCCAAGTTCAGCAATCAGGCGCCCACCTGGAGAACAAGGGAAGACAGTTAAAAGGAAAGCAGTTTCAAGAGGAAGTAGTTCAAGTTCAGCAATCAGGCACCCACCTGGAGAACTAGGGAAAGCAGCTCAAGTTTCAAGAGGAAGACAGTTCAAGTTCAGCAATCAAGTGCCCACCTGGAGAACAAGGGAAAGCAGCTCAAGTTTCAAGAGGAAGACAGTTCAAGTTCAGCAATCAGGCGCCCACCTGGAGAACAAGGGAAAGCAGCTCAAGTTGCAAGGGAAAGCAGTTCAAAGTTCAAGCAATCAGGCGCCTACCTGGAGAACAAGGGAGAACAGTTCAAGTTTCAGGGAAAGGAAGGTAGTCCGAGCTTCAGCAGTCAGGCGCCCACCTGGAGAACAGTTCAAGCTTCAAGGGAAAGCAATTTCGAAAGAAGACAGTTCGAGTTCAACAGTCAGGCGCCCACCTAGAGAACAAGGAAAAACAGTTCAAGTTTCAAAGGGAAGCAGTCCCAGTTTCGAAGGAAGACAGTTCGAGTTTTGGCAATCAGGCGCCCACCTGGAAAACAAGGGAATTCACTTCAGAATGCAATTCAAATCAGCAACAAAGGAAGCTACCTGGGAAGTACGAGTCAACAACTCAAGATGCACCACAAAGCCGCAAAAAGCTGCCAGATCATGTTTGAAGATACGTAGATAGGATTCTTGTAATTCATAGATCATAGTTTAGTTTAGCTTCTTTTTTTTTGACTCGGTGTAGTAAGGAGTTCAGCAAGCAGTAGCAACAGCAGCAATAGTGAAATCATAGCTTCTCGGAAGTCCCAGCTACCAACACTTCCCGAACTACACTGACCTGATTCCTTTATAGCCAAGGATATGTAGGCAACCTCGGAAGCAGGGTGCGATCAAATCTTTCAAAAAATGCTTCCCACGGAGTGTTCAAACGGGTAAAAATCACTCGTGTCTGCTCACTTTATCTTTGCACGAAAACTCTTCGAGTTTTCGAGCAAAGAGGGGCAGCTGTGAGCACATGATTTTTGCCCTACATAAATTACTCCTATAAAATTCAAGAAAATAGGTTTTTCCAGTTATTTGCCATTTTGTAGGATTTTTGTTAGGATTTTATTAATTGTCTGCATTTTCTGTGCATGATTACTTAAATCGTGAAAATACCAAAAATACCATGCATTGCATTGAGATTTTATTTTCATATTTTTAGGATAAATTAGTAAATTAGTTGCTTTATTAAAAAAGAAAATCACAAAAAAGTTGGCTTACTTTTACATTTTTTTTAGTTTTAATTCTAGATCAGTAGTTCTTCGCTTTTGACTTAGGATCAATTAATTTTTATAAATTTTATAATTTGATAATTAGTTTAATTTTACAACTTAGATTAATTTAGGAATTTAATTTAGGTTTTTAATTAATTAAAGAAAGAAAAAACAAAAAGAAAAAGGGAATTGAAAAGCTTGGTTTTAAATCCAATTTGGGCCAATTAGGCTGAAACCCAAACAATTTTTGCCCAGATCTGCCCCAGCCCAACCCTGTTAACCCGGTCCAGCGCCCCTAAATAACCAAAACGACGTCGTTTGGCATCGTTTAATCCTAGCCTTTCTTCCTTGATAATCTAACGGACCGGAACTCCCCTCCCATTTCCTATATAACTGTCCTAAACACCCCCTAGACCTAGAGACCCCTCCCCATTTCCCCATTCCGTCTCACCCAAAAGAAACCCTAACCTAGCCGCCCCAGAATCCTCTCAACTCATTAGCCGGCGGCGTTGACTTCAATCCCTCCAAATCACCTTAAAATTTAACCATACAATCCTCACCAGCCCTTCTTTCCAAATCCATCGGTATTCCTCCCTAAAACCCAGCAAAACCCATCCAATTTCGGATCTGAAAACGTAAAAAAATGCAAACCCTAATTTCCCTCTCCTTCTCTGATTTTGTTCAGATTCCGACTCGTTCTAACTTAAACCTTACGTTAATAGATTGCTCTCAACAAGAGCAATCAATTGACGATAGTTTTGAGTCAATACGAGAATGTCGGATTCGGACAGGCCCACCGCAATCTATCCAAACCTGCTGCTGGACCAATTCAGTTCCATGGTTCCCTTTTGCTTTCTGGTAATTTCTTTTTCCATATTTGTTCTCTTTGCTTAATTCGCATGTTTTAGTTTAAGTTGATTTCAGTATAATATGTTTGTGCCTGTTAGAATCTGTTTAGTCTTCATCTTAATAGTTCGATTAATAAGTATTAACAATCTTTTAGTGAGAGCCATTTTGGTAGTCGTTTCTTGTCGATTTCTGTTTTCGCTTCATTCTAGAACTGATTCATGTTAAAATTATTTAGGTTTAGGGTTAGTTTAAATTTTAATTGCATAATGTTTTAGCCTTTTCAGTCTTTGATTTGTGTCAATTCTGGTTTCGTTTTGTTGGTTTTGATTTCTAAACAAATGGAAGGTATGAGGGGTTAATTGAACAAATAAGAAACTTAAGGGGTCTGGGAAGGGTATGAAACAAATTTTTGGATAAAGCTAGTACTAGAAGCTTCTAGAATAAGGGGGCAGCTGTCCCTATTTGGTTAGCACAAATGTGCCGAGCCAATAATGGACAGCCAGCTGTCCCAGGCAGTTAGAATATGCCTTTTGCAGGATGGGGAATATTTTCTTGATTGGTTTTTGAACACATGGCCTTAGAGGCCTATAAGTTGTGCCTTTTTTTCATTCACACAGACTTTAAGCAATATTCTCTGCACCAAAATTCTGGAAAAAACACATTAGAGACCAGATACCAAAAAAAAAGAAAAACGACTGAAAGACTTCTTCTAAAAATCTAATTATGAGCTTTCATTTTCTCTTGGCAAAAAGTTTTGGAAGTAATCTTTCCTGGGTTTGCTGGTTTTCTGAAGCTGAAGCATGACTTGATTTAGAAGCTGTTGTGTGGATTGTTATTGCTGTTTCCCTGCTGTTGAACCTGTTGTTTGCTAGCTGCCATTAGCTGATTTTCGAATTCATTTGCTTTTGTTTGCTGAATCCAGGTACCTCTTTGAATCCTTGGGTTGCAAAATGAATCTGAAGATGTATATGTGTTGAGGCTAATGCATTAATCAGTGTTTTTCTTCAGTAAATGGCTTTTTTTATCTGATTAGCTCATATTTCCTATCTTTTGTCAACCAGTGTTCTGCTCTGCATATCGATAAATACAGACTTGTATTTAACGTGTAATCTTTCATGTAATGTTGAATCTTCAAGCTATTATGTTGTGGCTTCAGTTATTAGATGTTGAATTTAGCTATATTTAAGTTTGGATTGTCAGCTAAATCTATCAGTTTTGGTGGCAAAAGTTAGATGTTTTAGTTGTAATGTTTTTGTATCTATACCGGAACAATCATCAGAACCCATTCCCTTTTGTTGAAAAATGAGTAATTGTGTTGGACGAGTTTGTCTTAGTCAGTCTGTTAAATATTCTCTTAATAAGTTTGGATCTAGGTGGACTAAGTCCAAATTCATTAAAGTTGAAAGCTGAATCTCCACGTTTCTGAATCTACAAATAGCCATGTTAATTCAATATTATATTTAGTTGTAATGAAAATTTGGAGTGTGATTTGCAAAGTTCCTTTTGTGTTGTCAAAATCCCAGATGCGTATTAACGCTTTTTGATGCTCTAGTTGAGTCAAAGTTTGTAAAAGGGCCTAATAAGGGAGTGACACAGGCCCATCCAATTTTCTACGGGCTATTTGGTTTTTTTTTGGATTCCATCCGTTTAAGGCCATCCGACTCACAAGTCTTTGGCCCATTTCAATATTTGTCATTGCTTTATATCATGTCAAGCCACCTTGACTCCTATTCAGTCCATTCATTAGACCATGTATTTTAGTTAAGCTCGTTAAGACGGACTTATTATCACATTCATCTTACTACGATTTCTATTAAGGCGTTGTTTTGAGTGTACTGTTTTGAAATCCAGGAAATGTTGCACTTCAAAAGTGATAATAAAATATTTTTCCCAAGTAAATTCATAACCCATAGACTTCATCACTTTATCTTGAATCTTTGTTTCAATATGAATCTCGTAGTTTGCTTTAAGTACCTAACTACATCATCACAACTACGGGTATGACTCCCATGGCGTGATTGTGATACCTATGTCAAATTATTTATTTTAAATATGATATCCGTAGTTTACCTAGTTGAATGCTTTCTCCTTTAGTAAAAGTGAGGTGTGCCATACAATCACCTAGTCTATGGCCCTCACATCGATATCTTAATTAGTGTAGAAAATGCCTTGAAATCTCGTAGTTCGCTTTAGGCGCGTTTAAAATACTATTGTGATTATGTACACGTTCGCGTGACATAATTACGATTCTAAAAACAATTCGGAGTATGCGTTCGCGCAACTTCGACCAACTTTCTTAAAAATAAAAATTATTAATATAGTCCTCTTTAATTAAATGTAGTTCTTTAGGCCGAGGTGCGCCATCCATAATTGAATCCCTATGGCCCTCGTGTTGATTTTATAACTTAGACATTAAAATGATATTCGTAGTTTGCTTTAGGCACATTTAATCCACCATCGTGGTTGTGTACACGTTCGCGTGACATAATTACGGTTCTAAAAATAAAATCGGAGTATGCGTTCACGCAACTTTGGCCAAACTTTTTTAATAATAATAAAGCGTTATTAATTGTGGACACGTTCGCGTGACATAATTTTGACGCGCCAAACAAATGGGTACACGTACGCGTGACCTGTTTCAACATAATTTCTTAATTAAAAAGGCAAATGCACATAGGTTCTAAAATCAGTAATTAAACAATTTTAATGTGCCAAGATGATCAAAGCGACCGTGCTAGAACCACAGAACCCGGGAGTGCCTAACACCTTCTCCCGGGTTAACAGAATTCCTTACGCGGATTTTTGTGTTTCGCAGACATTAAAACAGAGTCAAATCTCCTCGATTCGGGATTCTAAACCGGTGACTTGGGACACCATAAACTATCCCAAGTGGCGACTCCGATCTTAAATAATAATTCCGTTTCGATTTTCACTTAAATTAGAAAAACTCCCTTATACCCTTTCCAGGGGTAGTGAAAAAGGAGGTGTGACAAGGAGGCCTCAGTCCGAAGTCAAGCATGCCTTCATCAAAGATGAGGTATCTAAACTCCTTTAAATAGGTTCCATTCGGGAAGTTAAATACCCGGACTGGTTAGCTAACATAGTGGTAGTTCCTAAAATGGGAAATAAATTAAGAATGTGCGTAGATTACAAAGGCTTGAACAAGGCATGCCCTAAGGATTCTTTTCTTTGCCTAACATTGATCGCATGATCGATGCGACGGTTGGGCACGAGATATTCAGCTTTCTCAACGCCTATTCCGGGTACAACCAAATCCAGATGGACCCGGGCGATCAAGAAAAAACTTCCTTTATCACTAAATTCGGCACCTATTGTTATAATGTAATGTCGTTTGGACTAAAGAATGCCAGTGCCACTTATTAACGCCTAGTAAATTGGATGTTCGAAGAACATATAGGAAAATCAATGGAAGTTTATATTGACGACATGTTAGTTAAGTCCGTGCGAGGAGAGGAACATTTGAAACATTTGCAGGAAACCTTTAACATATTGAAGAGATACAATATGAAGCTGAACCACAAAAAATGCGCATTCGAGGTCGGATCCGGAATTCCTTGGGTTCATGGTGTCCAACCGAGGGATCGGGATCAATCTCGATAAAATCAAAGATATAGAAGACATCACCGTGGTGGACAGTGTCAAGGACGTTCAAAGACTAACCGGGTGCATCGCCGTCTTAGGCCGGTTCTTATCGAGGTCCTCAAACAAAAGCCACCGGTTCTTCTTGCTATTGAATAAGAAGAATAACTTTTCTTGGACTCCGGAATTCCAACAAGCTTTGGAAGAACTCAAATGGTACATTTCGAGTCCACCCCTGCTCCATACCCCGAAGGCGGATGAGCAATTGTACCTTTACTTGGCGGTATCCGAGGTGGCGGTAAGTGGAGTCTTAGTCTGAGAAGAGGAAAGTACGCAGTTTCCTATTTACTATGTTAGTAGAACTCTAGGCGAAGCCGAAACGAGGTATCCTCACCTGGAAAAATTGGCGCTCGCTTTGCTAAGCGCCTCCAAAAAGTTGAAAACATACTTTCAATGCCACCCCGTATGTGTTGTAACCTCTTACCTACTAAGGAGCATCATGCACAAACCCGAGCTCTAGGGTCGGTTGGCCAAATGGGCCGTAGAATTTAGTGGGTACGATATCAAATATCGACCCCGAACCGCCATCAAATCACAAATCTTGGTAGACTTTATGGCTGACTTTATACTGGCCTTAATACCCGAAGTCGAAAAGGGATTGTTTTTAACCTCGGGACTTCCTCGGGAATCTAGACCCTCTTTACGGACGGTGCTTCGAATGCAAAGGGGTTCGGACTTGGCAACATGTTGAAGCTGCCTACGGGTAACGTAGTCAGGCAGTTTATTAGAAATGTGAAATTGACTAACAATGAGGCCGAGTATGAGGCCATGATTGCAGGTCTTGAATTGGCTAAAGGCCTTGGGGTCGAGGTGGTCGAAGCTAAGTACGATTCCCTCCTTATGGTAAATCAAGTCAATGAGACGGTCGAAGTAAAAGAGGAACGAATGCGAAGGTATTTAGACAAATTGCAGGTGACGCTGCATCAATTCAAGGAGTGGACCCTACAGCACGTGCTCCGAGATCAAAATAGCGAGGCCGATGCTCTGGCTAACTTGTGGTCATCGATCGATGGCGATGAATTTAGTTCGGGAACAGTCGTACAACTCATGAAATCGGTATTAGAAGAAGGCCATGCCGAAATAAACTCAACAAGTTTAACTTGGGATTGGAGGAACAAATACATAGATTATTTTAAGACTGGGAAGTTGCCCTCGGATCTTAAAGAGTCAAGAGCTCTGCGCACGAAGGTGGCCATATTTAGTCTGTCCGAAGGGACTCTATTTAGAAGAACATTCGACGGCCTGCTCGCCATATGCTTGGGGCAGGGAGATACAGAATATGTCTTGAGAGAAGTTCACGAAGGCACCTGCGGAAACCACTAGGGGTTAGAATCTTTGGTTCGGAAGATAATCAGGGCCGACTATTACTAGATCGACATGGAAAAAGATGCGAAGGATTTCATACGAAGATGCGACGGCTGTCAGAGACACGCACCAATGATCCATCAACCTGGAGAGCTACTATATTCGGTCTTGTCCCCATGGCCGTTCATGAAGTGGGGAATGGACATCGTCGGTCCCCTGCCGTGGGCACCTGGTAAGGCCCAATTCATACTATTTATGACCGATTATTTTTCTAAATGGTTCGAACCTCAAGAGTTCGAGAAAGTCCTAGAAAAAGAAGTCATTGACTTCATTTGGGACCACATAATATGCCGGTTTGGGACACCGACCAGATAGTGTGTGACAATGGGAAGCAATTCATCAGTAGCAAGGTAAACAAGTTTTTCGAAGATCACAAGATTAAAAAGATCTTATCAACACCCTATTACCCTAGTGGTAACGGAAATGCGGAATCAACAAACAAGACCATACTTCAAAACCTAAAGAAGAGGTTGACCGATGCCAAAGGGAAATGGAAGGAAATTCGGCCCGAGTCTTGTGGGCATACCGTACAACTTCGAAGTCTAGTACCGGGGCTAACCCGTTTTCATTAGTCTACGGTTCCAGAGCAATGATACCGGTCGAAGTGGAAGAACTGAGCCTCAAGTTCCAGATCGAAGAATCGAATGGTGTGGCCATGAGCACGAGCTTGGAACTATTGGATGAAAGGCGTGAAGCCGTCCTAATCTGGTTAGCTGCCAAGAAACAACGATAGAAAGATATTACAAACGAAGAGCCAACATCTGACACTTCAAGATCGGGGACTTGGTGTTAAGAAAAGTAACACTTCATACTCGAAACCTGAACAAGGGGAAGCTGGGACCAAATTGGGAAGGACCATATCGAGTCGTCAGAATCACCGGCAAAGGCTCGTACAAACTCGAAGCGGGAAACAATGCACAAATACCTAACAACTGGAACGTGACGCACTTAAAGCGGTACTACTGCTAAGATACGATCTTATTTACTTTTTTATAAAATTATGGATCGGACTAACACTTGCATGCAATGGCCAAGGGAGAATGTGACTATTAGGTCTGAAAGCTCGCGTTGCGCTATTTTTTCCTTGAACCGGTTTTGTCCCAAATGGGTTTTTTGGCAAGGTTTTTAACGAGGCAA